TTTTTTTTTTTTTGAGAGAGAGCATGCGCATGCGCGCCCACAAATGGGGGAGGGGCAGAAAATGAGGAAGAGAGCAAGAATCTCAAGCGGGCTTCACACTGTCAGTGTGGATCCCAATGTGGGCTTGTGAACCGTGAGATCATGACCCTAGCTGAAATCAAGAGTCAGACGCTTGGAGCGCCTGGGTAGTTTAGTCAGTTAAGCATCAGACTTCAGCCCAGGTCATGATCTTGGGGTTCTTGAGTTCGAGCCCCACATCGGGCTCTCTATGCTACCTGCTGTCAGCACAGAGCTCCCTTTGGATCCTTTGTTCCCCTCTCTGTACACACATGCTCTCTCCGCAAAATAAATAAACATTAAAAAAATAAAAGACGCACTGACTGAGCCACCCAAGTTTCCCTGTACTTCATTGGTTTATAGCACTTATCACATTGTGACATAAAGAATTGTTTGCATCTATCTCTTTCACTAGACTGTGAGCTCCTTGAATTAAAAAACTACATTTTTTTCATTTCTATGTCCTCAAAGAACCTGAGACAATGACTCAAACAAGCAGGTATTTTGTACAAGGGAGTTATATCACATGCGTATTTAACTTCTAGGAATTTTACACTGCGTACCAAAAAAAAAACCCAAAAAGAATGAAATAATCAGGCAGTTTCACCTGCCATTCTACCCAATGAGTTGATGCCTAGTATTGGGCATATGATAGGAGGTATGAATCTGTTGTTCCCACATGTCTCTCAAAGTGACCACCTCATTGGCTTGAGTGTGATTCTTTTGAAGAGATTTTTCATAACATCATACCTCAGACACAAGCCAACCACTTCCACTGGTGCTTTTTCTAGTGATGGAAGAAAAGCCATCTGTGTTGGATATGAGAGGTGGTATGTTAGTCTCTAACATAGTGCTTTCCTAAGGAATTATCCAGGGTAATTTTGACTAGACTTTTACTATATATTCACTGGCTTTAGAAGCTAACCCTTTATAAAAGACAGGAATACCACTATCCAGTTTTCCTAAATGAGCAATCTATCCTTTCTCGGAGTTGTTATAGAAGTTTGTTTTTATGACTCAAATGACATTTTTGCTGCTTGCTTCTTAGCTCTTTGTTCATGTCTGATATCACCAGTTGGAAAGTAAGGATCATATTTTTGTACCTCTTTGTATGTGGCATACTGCACATAGTACTCATTTATAGAATAAATAGACATTTTTATATGTTTTCATTATGCTAAGGTCTAAATGAGAAATAACCCAGAAACCATATCTTTTAATTCACCATCCAGTGGTCATCCACTTTCACATGATACCATTTGCTAAATATTCCCTTCCAATTATCACATTTCTTTCTTCCACAGCTCTTCCGACGTGTTGCAGCAGCTTTGCCTGGAATGGAAAGCACACAGGACAGAAGCAGAGAAGACAGTATCCTTTTTGTTTCATCAGAAAATTTTATTGTTAACATTAGTCTTTAGAGCTCCACTTGGTTGGCTAAGGAATATGCCATCACCTTTTACAACCAGGAATTGATGACTTAGGAATGTAGAAGCTCCAAGATTTTCTTTTTTTTTTTCTTTTTAACATTTTTTAACATTTTATTATTTTTTGAGAGAGAGAGCAAGCGAGCAAAGGAGGGGCAGAGAGGGAGACACAGAATCTGAAGGAGGCTTCAGGCTGTGAACTGTCAGCCTAGAGCCTGATGCAGGGCTCAAACCCACGAACTGTGAGATCATGACCTGAGTCGAAGTCAAGATGCCTAAGTGACTGAGCCACCTAGGGACCCTGAAGCTCCAAGGTTTTCTGTAGCACATGAGATCTGGTGGTTCAAGGGCATCCTTTGTAGCCCGCTTCTCACTGCAATTAATCAGTGAGAGGGTTTGTGTTTGTTTACTTGCTTTTTAATGAGCAGGAAACTTAGAATCACCGCCCTCTGCCTCTTAATTTTGAGTCCCATTGGCTCTGGGCTTTTTCCCTACAGTATATATCATGTTTTCCTCCCTTGCTTTTTCTTGAGCTTTCTGCTTGGCACAGGCAAGAAATAATTCAGTCTTGAGTGTTATTGTGGCCTCTGCTTTCAGAAACAGGACATAATGAAGTACATGTAATAATAGTTATTTCAAAGGATTTTGAATCTTAATATTTTAATTGTTTTATATTTAGCGTTTTTCCATATGCATTTTTATTAAGCCATAGAATTCATAGCACTTTGTGTTCAGCTTTTCCCACTGCTAGATGTTTTATGTTTTCTAAGCCTTTATTTTTTTAAGGTTTTTTTTTTTTTTT